TCAACCTTAAAAAAAGTATGAAAAAACTAATTCAATGGAAATGTAGTTAAATTGCATGTAACTTTATAATTTAAGCATCTTCTACTTTCAAATGACATCTACTGTTTTATTCTTTGAAACAAAGAACGATATTTTTATTATATTCTAAAACAGCACAATATGCAAAAAAGCAATATTCCTTTCAAATTTTATCACTGTTCCAACATTTTGGAAGAGAACAAGATTGGCAGTCCTATGTCATAGTCTAACATATAAACACATATGTCTCACCTTCAGTTCTAACCAATATACTCTTCTCCACAGCTTTCRATCTGATTTTCTTGCTCTCCCATCCCTCACACACTGAATTATGACACTTGTCAGGAGAMTTCACTCCAACTCTCATTTAACACTTGCAAAGAATCTGACTCAGTGCTAAGTATGTTATACATAAGATTTCATTTAAGTCTCATATTAAATCAATGAACAGGTAGTACAGGACTCTTTTAAGGCAGGAAAAAAGAGGCTTGGAAAAGTTCTGTAATGTGTTCAAGATCTCACAGTAAGAGAGTATGAGGACTGGGATTTTAAGCCATGCCCATCAAATTCTGCCTTGCAAACTTGGGTTATCATCTGTCTCTCTGCTCTACCTACTTGGGCAACTAATTGTGTGAAGAGGGATATGTTCCTTAAACTCTCTAAGTTCCATGTTTTCCATCTTAAAAATTGAAGATCAGAATGGATTCTAGTGGGTTAACCAAAATTTCCTGTAGCTGTGCAATAATGTGAATATACTAAATATTACTAAACACTATTCTTGAAAGTGGTTAAGATGGTAAACTTTGTTTCTTTAACCACAATTTAAAAAGTCAAACCGAAAAGTCTCCTGTACATTGTCTTAAAAATATATAACATACTTAACTCTCATTTCTAAAAATGAATTAATTGGCTTCAGATGTAGGACCCAGGGATGTGTATTCCTTAAAAGGTGATTYGGACTGAAATGAATTATATCTCATGACTCCCCCAGGACCATGTGCACTCTCACATTCAAGGTAGAACTAGCCCAACAGGAAAAAGAAACTGGGTACAACGGAGTAGAATAAAAGTGTTTGGGCTAATTTTTGAAAAAGTATCATTACCTTCATATACAATTCATGATAAAAATGAAAGAGTAGTTTTAAATTAAAAAAAAAAGATCTTCATATCTCTTTTTAAGTTTAGAAAACACTGTAATGCAAAGGTATGGCCTTATTATTTAATGAAGGGTTGCTATTGTATTTCCCAATGGTAGAACAGATTTGTGATTTGTCTCACACTTTAAAAACTACATTTTTAATAGATTCAGTGTTCAAATGACGCCGAAAAGCCCATTCAGCTGAACACACTTTAAACAAGTGATACCAAGTTGAAAGATAAATACAATTAATATTTTACAACTACTAGAAAATAAGAAGTTAAGTGTTCTTACATGCCTACAAAGTTTCAAACTTGGAATATAAAACTTATGAGGGTTTTAGTTTTTTGGTAATGCTAGGGATCAAACCCAAGTGCTCTAACATTAGACCACATCCCTAGCCCCAGTACTTAGGATTTTGATAGCTCTGTTTACTTTCCAAATTCTAGTTAAACTCTAACCAAATCAGGGCTTTAACTGTTATATGTTCATCAACCCTTTAATCTTTTTTTTAAAATAAAGCTTTGTTTTTAAAAAATTTCTTTTCCACTAAMCCCTAAAAGCAAACCTGTCTACTTCAGCTGTAAATGCAATCTGACTCTCATACTACAATATCCCCCTCACACACACACAMAAAAACTACCAAAAGTCCCAGAACCTGCAAGCTGAATATGATACATAAAATTCTTGTGTTAAAATCCTTACCTTCTGGAAGCAAATAATAACAAGGACACTGAATTTAATAACTATCAAACCCTTACATAATTATTCACTCATTTCAGCAATAAAACCCAACATTATAGAACCTATGCATGTTTTTACATTTGAATACAAATGTCTGGAAGAAGAAATTCAATACCTTAGGGAAAAAAGTAAGAAATCTACATCTCAGAATCTGGCACGGTCCCTCCATTTCTACTTTTTTCCATTCCATTTCCCTTTTGCAATTCCAGTTCTATCACATGAAATTTCCCTAATTCCTGTACTTGTTCAGACACAGGGATCCCTGAGTTATTTTCAAAATATCAGCTGAATCAAGAAAATAAAGTTCTAGTAGAAAAGAAAGAAGGGCTTTCATTAAGTAGAATCATAACATTAAAGAGCCAAGTATCAATTTGAAAATAGGGGCACTAAAATAAAACAAATTCATTTATGATATTCTAGACTATAATCTTACTATCACCAATCTGGTTTAGAACAGACAACAGCAAGAAATGAAAAGAAACAAGTTGCAATAGCTTTGAAATTTACAAAAGAATAATAATTTGGTTTTCAGAAATAGTCTATAAACACATGGCATAAGTGAATAAGGGAAAATGAAGCCAATGTACACACTTGTAGTACCAACAAAAATTTTGATTTTTTTAAACATCACACCAAGACAGATATATCTAGCTAGTCTCAGACAAAAAAAAAAAAATTAACTAAAAAGTAAGCTAGACCAACTATCCACAATACCTTCATCTATTGTAATTACATACTGAGCTTTAAAAGGCAGCTTTCTGAAATATTTTACTCTTATTTCTAATCTTTAAGAACCATAATTCAGTTCTTTTAATCATTTTACAAAAACCTCTTTATAATACAGAGCTTGTTTATACATCTCATTTTAAAACACCACAATATAAATGTTGATCAGCATCCTCCCAAGAAACAGAATAATTGTAACTGATTGACAGCGCTTTTGTAGTCAAGTCTCAAGAAAACAGTCAACAAATCAGCAAACTGGTATTCTTTTTTGACAAGCAATCCCAGCAGGAAGTTTCACTCTAAAAAATTATGAAAAACTAAGACTACTCTAAGATAGCATCATAGAAATACTGATATATTTTGTTTAGCCAACAGAATTTTTTAAAGTGAGAAATCCAATGAAAACTGAGGGAGTTTAGGGAAAGTATCAAATTAGTAAAGACACTGAGTTACAAGGCAGTATTGCACTTGAATTCTGAACCACAATTTTGTAGTGGCAACTTCTAGTAATCTGAGCAATTTCATCTGGAAAGAATTTACCAAGAAAGATTACAACATTGATTACCATGTGCATTTTACAGTACACTTTCCTTAGCCCATTTATAATTAAAAAAAAAAAAAAGAAAACTAAAAATCTAAGAAGTAGAAACCAAGCTTTAAAAACAGTTTTTCACAACAAAATTTATTAGAAGAATAGTGGTTTTGAAAGTCTAGCATCCAGTGAGAACTACCATACACAACATTACAGCTGGGAATGTTTCTCCAAAATGTCATGGTCAAATAATACAATGGAACCATTAAATCTTACACATGCACGAAAGAACTAGCGCTTTTGACATACAACGAAAAAAAAAGTAAGAAAGAAAGAAAATGGGGTGGGGGGACCACATGGATTAAAATTTTAAGTACTCATCACATACATTAAGACACAGCTTATTTTAGTCCAGTCAAAAAATCAGAACTGCATTAAAAAATTTAATGTAGTGCAATCAAACCAAAAATCTTAATTTGTGATCATAAGTGCTCTACTACATAAACATTAATCATAGCAAGGAACAAAAAGTTCAAATCACACAGTACAAAAAAATCTGTAAATAAATATAAACTACAGTACAAGAGAAATATTAAATTATACAATTCCGTCAAACTGTAAACAGTATATTGAAATGAGGTCCATAAGAGTTAAGGGGGTTCCTGTTGTGTTTCATGACACTTGAACTTCTAGAAATCTGAAAGATGCAATTTTCCATATCTTTGAAGGCTATGGGTATTATATATGGAGAGAATTTCTTTTAGATGTAAGATATCAAATTTCAAGCAGAGGGATAACCTATTTTGTTAACCACAGATAGTACTGTAGAAAACAAGAGTTATGAGACAAGTCTTAACATCAGAGATGTAAAGGACTAAAACACTGGAATTAGAACTTCACATCAGAAGAAACTTGTCACTGAGGTCTTCAAGGCTATAAAATACACTGACAAAATTGTCTGCTAATAAGCAAACCTAGACCTCTGCTAATTTTTTGACATTTTACATACTCATGTTAAAACACCAACTTTGGCAGAATCACTACTGATAAACTCAAAGCACTCCTGGCCCAATGGTTCCATCACAGTGGCCAGTGCACAGATTCTCTAAAGACATTGCATAAACTAGAATGTAGAGGTCAGACACCCAAGGACCAGTGCTTGAATTTAGTAGTAGTTATGGTGAAGAAGCAAGAGCCACATTAAGGAGGAACTGCATCTGTTATAGTTTACAGAGGCAGCTAGGAATGTCTTTTAATTGTGCTGGCTATTAGTGGCATTTAAAAATATATACTTTCACCGTTTGTGTGTGTGTGTGTGTGTGTGTGTGAGAGAGAGAGAGAGAGGGAGGGAGGGAGGGAGAGGGAGACAGAGACAGAGAGTGATGTGCTGGCTATACATTTATGCACATTTTTAAAAAATACACTGTTAACAGGAACCCCCGCATTATCTGCTCAGTAGTAATAACTGAATATATAGAATGCCACTATAAGAGTGTGAGGCACCGTGTGCTGGAGAGTTATATGCAGCTTTAAAATCTGTTTGGCTGAGTTATACCTGGATACCTGAACTGAGTTTTTAAGTTGACATTCATCAAAGATGTGCTACCAGCACGTTGAAATAAAAGCAAAACAGAAAAATACAAGTCACTGTTAGGTTTAAGAATAGCATCAAAGTACCTGAATTGAGTGAGAAGAGTGTGTAAACTGTCCCTGAGGGTTTTTAAACAGTGTGTATAAGTTGGATTTCTAAGAACATTAGTTTTATTTAACGGTGTGGACTGATAAAATACCAATGTCTGACAGTTTAAAGTGGAGGTTAGAAAGAATTATACGCAAACGCTCCAAATGTATATAGTCTATGCATTTTTTTTTTTTTAAACGAAGCAGCAACAAGCTGCTGTAAAGTATACATCCCATCAGAACAAGCAACATGTAGGAGTCAGATAAAGGTTTCTTAGTCTGGTTTTCTGACAGCACAGCATATCAATATCCAATGACTATATCTTTCCTAGATCAGAATGTAACTAATTTCGACTAGCAATATAGGATTAGACTTTTAATCAAACACTTTGCTATTACATACTAAAATTCCTTAAACTTACTAATGCTGGTAATACTAACCTAGTTAATCATCCCCCCTCATTTTAGAAATATACCCTTCCACAACTTAAAAACATTAAGATCCATTTCAGTCCTCTGATGTAAAAAGCATGTAAGTGAATTAATATTAAAAATTTACACAGTAAAAAGGCTTGAATTTCAGCCAAAGATTCTAAATACTGTTCATTCCCTGAAGACTTAAAGGGGGAGAGAATCCCTACCCATTTTCCTAGTGGTTTATTTTTGTAAGATGGTCTGATATAATTTTTTCATTTTGGGGTATTTCCCCCTAACCTTCTCTCAAATTCCAAATTCTTAAGCCTGAAAAGCTTAACGAAATGGGGAAAATGAGGCAATCACTTACAATTGCTAGAAAGRTACAAAATGTTATTGTCTTTAGTTAAAATAAGATTTATATAAATGTGATCTGACCCCATATTATGTAGTATGTTTCATATTTTTAAATAATTGTCCTAAAACTTACAGTACCTAAGACTCTGAAGATAAATTAAGACTTTAGTGTTGTAACAGAAAAAAGTGCTGAATTATCCCTTTTCTAGTACTTTTAAACATTTTGGACAAGTGCTTTCCTAGTGACAGTAAAGTTCACTATATACCCTTCCACCAAGAAGGAAAGTCACCTTGGTGAAAGACTTTTAGGAGTGTAGCACCGGGTATTTACCAAATAGTAGGAGTTGTTTCACTCATTCTGAGGGGGTAAAAATATCCTAGATTGAAATTCTATTTGGCTATTGACTGTTAAAAATCCCTGCTCTACTGTGTCAGTGTCCTGTGTCTAACTATCCCTGGCCCCCCACCCACAGTCCCCTTACACACTATCCACTGAGAATCTAATCTCCAAAGAGATCATTTTAAAATTTATGTTTTCAGGACATACCTGAGAAAGGGTGCAATTATGCAGAACAAGGAATCCAAGACTGCACTAATACTGGTTATAGGTTCATACATTTTTTTTCCCCAAGACAAATCTAAGTTTAAGAGGTATGGATCTTCAAATATGTCTTACTGCTTTAGATTTTTTTTTTTTTTTTTTGGTATGTGTGTAGGGTCATTTCCAGTGTTGAAAAGATCATCTTGCACCTATTCAAGAACAGTTCAAGATGAAGTAAATAGTTCATTTCCACATTCAAACAATAAAGATTAAATATTATGAGTATAATATTTGCTACATCCAATAAATCTATGGTTAACTAAAAGTGCTTGCTTTTCAGCATTTATGGAAACAGTTCTAAATGAACTGGAAACCTTAAAATTACTCTCCCCCCCCCAAAGAGTTTCAGAGTTTCTGATGTTTGTTGGTCAAATCAACATTAACTAGCCTTGATTCTCATTTTCAAACAATGTAAAGATTTTTCTAACAAATGAAGATGGCCCAACTTTACCACACTGTCTGTCCTGTGACTCATTTTTAGTGTAACAGGGCAGAATCTGTGTCTATGTACTTGCCCATCCTACCACCCCTTTCCTCCAATCTCCTTCATAACACTTAGTATACACAGCTACAGAGCTATGCTACAGGGCTACTGTCGGCTTTTGAAAAAMATGACTGCAAGATTATCTGGAATATAGGAGGATACGAAAAGAATTCCTCCATTTCCCTTTCAGTCAGCATGTTTACAAATCCTACTCAAGTCTCAAGGACAGAATGAATCCAAAATAATTAATAAAGAAAGTGTCCGGAGGTCTGTATTCCTGTACCATAATTATACTTTTTTCCTCTTCAGTAGTTTTTGAAAGAAATTAGTTAAAAAAAAAAAATCCCTATGTAGCGTAACAGTCTCCTAAATGGACTGTTTGGCTAAAGCTGTCAAGTTTTTAATAATACTGGCCTGACCATAGTATTAATGAAGACCTAATTCTACAGYAAGCAACAGTGACAAGGAAACAATCTCCGATATTTTCATATAGGCCAAAATTTAACCTATGACTGTCAGTATCTCCTATAAAACATTAAGTAGGGCAATTTGATCTATTGCCATATTCTATCACCAATGACAGCAACCTGAATATATAGAAAAGAGAATTCCACATGAAAACTATCTCTGCATTTGGTAAATTATAAAACAAAAAAATGCAGTTTCAAAATGAAATCTACAAGGGTAACAGCTGTTTGAGAAAATGACACCAACTTGCCATACATCTGCTGTTAATGATTCAAAATAATTTCAGGTTCTGACATTGAGCTGACTTAATCTGTTTTATTAGCCACATAAAACCAAGCTTCACTATTATGTGTCAATGAAATATAAGAGAATCTACAAAGGATTAGAACCAGGCCTGGCATCATGTGCTTACTTGGGGATGGGGGAGAACACACAGCTCACTAGCAGCTCAAAGGTTGCTATGTAYTGCCTAATGACAGAAGGTAGTTAGGATATGGGCCTTAACAGGTAGTCATTTTTAGTCTAATTTAGTGTTCTCTCCAGAAAATTGGGAACTAAACATCTCATTGTGCCTTCTTTTGTTTTATTATCTGATCCCATATAGCTCATATTATAGCTAAGGTAAAACACTGGGGAATAAAAATGCCAATTGTTTGAGGTAATGATTTATATAAGATAACCAGAATTCTAAAGCACTTCAATATTGTAAAGTAAAAGTGTACCAAATAAAGCTAATACACACTTCACACTTGTTGAGCTTGCGCACCAGAATTGAACAGTAATTAACTTCACATAAGGACCCTACTATCACACAAAGCCTTACTCATATTCATGATCTGCTGCAGCAAAGGTTTATATCAAGCAACATCTAAACTTCAGAATAACAACAAACTTAATATTAAAAAGTATTATACACAAATATAAATTATTTTTCCTGAAAGAGAGATCTTGTCCTTCATGGTATTTGAGGAGCAGAATAAAGTGTATAGCTCATCACAAATATAATTCAGTCACTTGTAAGCCTATCAAAAAAGTAATATAATATACTATATTACTATCAATTGATTTCTGTGCTGTCTCAGGATGAGAATGCTAATGATAAAATACCAACTAGATAGCTGTCCACAGAATTAGTGTTTTTGATTTTATAGTGCCATAGCTTATCTATAATATCAATGCTCTCATTAAAAATGCAAGAATTTATTTTTAAATACATTATTTCCTATCATTAGTTCAAATAATGTTATATAATTTGAGTAATGTCATCATCCACCTACCAAAAATGTGAGGAAAAAAGGCTTTTGTGACAAAGACAGTCATGAACTATACTTTCCCATACCATAAAAATGGTCACCTGTTGTTTTGAGCCACGCAAAACTCTGATAAGCAGAATTTAAGCATCCAAGTAGACCAATCTCTATTATACATTTATGAGGATGTCCCCAAATTAGAATATCTACACCAAAAGTGCCAATACAGCATAGTGGCAAATCAAGAGAGAAATTAAATATTAAGGGATCACTGTGGCATGAAGACTGAYCGCCAGCCATGTGATGATGATGAGCCACCTCCAGGAAATACATGGTATAATGGAACTCTGAACACAAAATTTAACATTAAAAGTGCACCTGAATATTACAAACTAACTTTACAAAACCTACAATAAGGTAAAATATATATCTTTTGAAATATTCAGCAGCTTTTTGTTTTGTCTTTTTTTAAAAGGTTTTTTCTTTTTTCTGAGAGGCTCATGAAATTTAAAAAGGGACCACTATCTAATTTCAACCATGCTTCACGAAACAATAATGGCTATTTTATATTGCAGTTACCAATGTAATGCAATTAGTGCTTTAAAATAATCTACACTCAAAAAAAACAAACAAGAGGGGGTGAGGAAGAGAGGAAGAGAGACCGACCTTTGGAGAAAATATGCTTATTCAAAAGCTTCTTGGAAAAGAAAATTTACCTGAATATCAAGTCATGACTGATCTCAAGTGTAATGTTTAAAAGCTTCACAGACATGAATATTACAATCTTCAGGTCTCAGGACTTTTAATCTGAGAAAGTTCAGAGTTTGGTTTGTTTTTAAATTCACTTTCTAACCAAAACAAATAATAGAAATACTCAAATTTGCACTATTTACAACTCTCAGCCTACAATCTGAAATGACACAATACAAGTTCTCTTATTTAAACTGCAGCATTAAAGGGTAGGCACACCATTCTTCTGCTGCTCGATTGTCATCCACTGAAACACACATAGAAAATATTTATGTTAGTAAAATGATCACTCCATGTACACTACAATGACAAAAWTTACATAACTCAACTCATACATCACTTATATAGACTACCACATAGGATTAAACCTCTCTGAACAGTAAAACTCTACAAAACTTCAATTTTTAGGGCCAGATTTTTAAATGGGCCTTTAGTGATGTCTTTCTGAGAGGGGATAAAAAAGGAAGCACAAATTAATTTCTCAAAGGACCTTTTTGCAGCAATTTTTGGCTACTGAATACCCCAAACATTGTGCAAAAAGGCACCATGGCTGCAATTAATTGTGTGCTGAAAAACTGAATGTGAAACAAAGGAGGTGTTCCTTCATAAGCTTAGCCTTTTGCTTTCAGCAAACTTTCTGCCAAACTTCCTTCAACCGCAGATGAAAACCATACATTTCATAATGTATTTTTATTGCAACTTCCAGCTAGGCTAGAAATATTGCAGTTATATATTGTTACTTAACCCAAACTACCTTTTCCGTTGAGATTAGAAACCAAGAGGAAACAGGTTCAGTCACCCACTGATTAAATTGTTAAACAAAACAACCAAATCAAAAGAGAAACCCACGCCCAGGCTATGTCAAGAATGAGCAGTGTCTGTATTTTAATAACAGCAATGGTGTGCCTAACCTTTGAACACAAAGGTTGCTGAGGGAAAATTATTCTTAACCTAATTTAATTATCTGCTCCAAAAAGTTTCCAGGCAAGAATTTATGCCTTGAGAATACCTGGACCTACCACTCATCCTTGAACTGTTAGCATTCACCTGAAACTGACAATCTTAATCTAAACAACACCTCATGTTTGATTTTTTTAACACAAAAACTCATGATTTTTGTTTTTGGTTAAGCATTCAGAAGGGCCTGACCAATTAACTTAACAGCAGATTCAAACATAGGGTGTATGTGGTATGGATTTGATTTGCAGGAATAGTAATTTTAATTTAATCACAATAAAACTAAATTCCACAGGCTTTACTTATCAGCTATTCTTGCAAAAACTGCAGAAATATAAAACTTTCTAAACTTAATCAATTTTATAAGCCCATCTCAAAAAAGCTTAGGTGTTCTTCAAGGAGTGCTTATATAAACATGGTCTGAAAAGTCCTGAAATGTGTGCTAAACAACCATGAAAATCAGCTAAATATCAGAAGTTAAGAAGGGGATATTAATGTAGGATGCCAAGAAAGGGGGAGGTGAGGATTAGACCAACAAAATTAACTGTAACCTAAAAAAAAAAAMAAAAACCCAACTTCTCCCAATCTGGTACTATTATTTGAGAAACTAAAATGAGCTTAACTCCTGATTGAATTAGTTAAAACTGATTAGCAACCAAAATTATATTAGAATTGGGATTGTATTTTCTTTCTTACCATAAACTTAGATCCCCTTCATCAATGTAGATTTTGAACAGACAAGTGATGTTGTTTAAGTATCATTCTTTAAATATCACAGTTATACACATTTCTTTTCCCTATTTCTCCCACCCCCAATAAACAGATCTTGAATTAAACTAGGCGCTGCAACAATATTCAGTTGTTAGTTAGCACATGATCAATTCTTTAAAAGGGCTGAAAACTACAAAGAAACCTAGCTAAAATGAGGCATCCTCCATTGTTTTATGTAATGTACCCTGACTGCTCCTGAGTAAGAAGGGAGCTCGTCCTCCATGAGATAAGGCTATATCCTCACTTGTTGGTGAGATCAAATTCTACCCTTAGAAAATCTCAAATAAAATTACAGCAAAGGTAGTGTTCAAAGTAATTAACTGAAGCATTTCTGAAGGTAGTGTGTGCACATTTCCCACCTCCTTCCCCTCTGGGTGAGCACTAAGTAGATTGCAAATTTGAAGTAAATTAAGTGTAATTATATAAATGACCCAAATACATATTTATCATTGAATAACCAAAATTTTCAAATTCAAAGGTTCATTGTTCTTCTTAGTTTTTTCTTTAGTTTAATCCTTCAATTAGTTGAATAGTAGAAGAAAAAATGTGAACATTTTATAAGATGGCTTTCCAATTTGCAATGATAAAGCTCCCAATATAACTGAGGTGATTTCTAAAAGGGGGCTTTTTTCCTCTTCTTTTTCTTTTTTCTTTCTTTCTTTTTTTTTTTTTTTAAAGTAAAGGCAAACATAATTTAAGGGGAAAAAGAAAGAAAAGCATGCAGGCTCTACAGGCAAGGAGTCCACGTCCATGAATCTGTTCTCTGTGAGGTAACTCAATTCTCTTTTGTAGAGAAACATGCAAAAGGCCAAACAATATTCCGAGCCATACTGCACATGGAAATTTAAAAATATGCAACATTCGAAAGGCACCCTTCACCTCTGTATACACAAGTCAATGCAAAATTTGCAAAGAAACAGTGTCACAGGAATGAAGTTAGGTGCAACAATGACAGCTGAACAATGATGCAGTAGTGCTCACCCAGTTTGTACAGTAATTGGCACTCTACAGTATTCCTACTCGTTTTTTGATTCATTTGCACTTTGTGCTGCCTCTCCCTGGGGATCTAATTCAATCTTTACAGAAACATCTGGCCCCTCCGACCTCATTAATTTCATCTTTTTCTTTGGAGGGTTTTTCAAAGTGCCCAGCCTCTCCTTTACTTTGTACTCCAGTGTACTGTGGGGAATCCCATAAATACTCTGAGCTTTGGAAACACTCATTTTTCCACTCATAACCACTGAGATTGCTTCCTCCAGTATCTCACTGTTGTACTGTCTGTAACGCCCTCTTTTCTTCCGAGGCTGCTTGGAGCCAGGGTCTCCTTCTTGATCCGATGTGGGATATGGCTGTCCAGAGGTAGACTGCTCAGCATCTGAGCCCCAAGAATCAGGTCCAGCATCTAACATGCTTTTTCTATTTTGTTTTGGAAGAATAGCCCTTAATTTTTTACTAAGCGCGCTCTCCGTTTGTGAACCCATTACCAAAGAGCTATAGCTGTACTGATCACCAGTGCGAGACTCCCAAGAAAGATCCATTCCTCGAACTTGTGGTATCTTTAAATCTACAGGAGATGAATGGCTCACATCCTTTTTTCCATCTTGTTTTGCTTGAAGTGCCATTTTTGGAAAGGCAGAATTTTCTGCAAGAAAAGGAAGGTCACTGATGTTGCTGAGTGCACCATTTCCCCTGAACTTCATACGGCTGAGGTTGAATTCATAATGTGGTTTTGCCCAAGAGGCTTCCCTGGATAATATTAAGTGTTGTCCATGATTCTGTAATCCAGATGGCCCAAGGCTGGCAGCTGTGGACAATTGGTTTCTGCTCAGTAGTTCTTCACTAATCTGCAGGGATCGAGCCAGTGGAACTTTGAGTGATGTGGAGTGTCCAAAACCTTCCCTGGTTCCATCCTGTAAGCTTCTTGGAGGTACCCCATCACCACTCCGAAGTCCGTCTGGGCGGTACTGGCTGGGTCTCCCAGGTCGCCTAATTGGATGGAAGGAAACTGATGTGAGCAGGACTTGCACAGGTAGGGAGGGATGGGTGAGGGGACCACTCCTTTATTAGAAGGCCTTGCTTGGGTAACATCACTTTGTGTTATTTATTTATTTTTCTCTAAAATTAAAAAAAAAAA